TTTCGTGGCATGTGGCCGATAATTGGACGCCGTCGCACATGATGCACCACATGGCGTCGGGGTACCTGCTATGAGGGCTTCGGCTTTCGTCGCCATCAACCCCCATGGCCGCCCAAGCGAACAGGGGGGCGCAAAGCGCACCACAAATTGTCATGGACGTGCGGATGGTGACTCCGACGCCCCCGCCCCGCCCGAAGACCCCGCCCGAGTCGATGTCCAGCAGCGTGCCCTCGGGCACATTCAAGCGAGGTATTTTTTTTACCGTCTCTCGTGTGGTGGGGCTTTCGGCTGATATCCCAAACCCTTTTCCACTCCTTTTCGACGCGTTCACGCGTGTACCCTGTGAAAAACTACACCCCCAAACGCCCCGACGCTGAGTGGCAGGAAGTGGCGTGTCACGTGTCACGGCTTGCTGGCACGGCGGCGGGAGTTTCCGTAGGCAGCCAGATATGGAGAGTGCAGTTGCAACGTGCGAAGTCATGCATTCATCACCGATTGACCCATCGGGTCGGGGCTGCAGGCGGGGCGGGGGCGACAGGATCACCAATGAGAACTACGATATCGGGACATCAATTACAATATCGGGATCTCTGTGAAGACCCGCGGAAGGATGGAGAGAAGATGTAGGGTGACGCAATGAGAGACATATCTATTCAGATGTATGTACATATATACACACAGATTTCGTCAGGCGTCCACTCGCCATGGTCAACTTGCCCCAATGTCCCTTTACCACTCCCGTGGCGTTCCGAAGACGAGGTCAGACAATCCTAAGGAACAACAGCGCCACTTCCGAGAGCATTCACCGCGAATCGGGGCCCTCAGCCAGCACAGCCAACAGGAACCCCAGGGACGAGACCCAAAAACGCCTGCAGGTCACAGACGGGGGCCCAAGACATTCCCCCTGACATAGACCACAGGCCCATACAGTCTGACACAGAACGGCGGAGGGGGCCAAGCTAACCCCCGGGCTCAGGCACCGGATTGGGACAACTACGAGATTCGCGCTTCTACGAGGGGTGGCAAGCGGGTGGGGTCCAAAGAGGGTACGAGCAGGACGCGGCGAAGCACGGACCCACGGCCCCTGTATGATCATACACATTCGTGTATACGGGCATGCGGTTTTCGTCCGGCGTCCACTCGCCAGTGGTCAACTTGCTCCAGTGTCCCTTTGCCACTCCCGTGACGTTCCGAAGACGAGGCCAAACAGTCCCAAGGAACGGCACCGGCTCTTCCGAGAGCATTCACCGCGAATCGGGACCCCCAGCCAGCCCAGCCAGCAGGGCCGCCGGGGACGAGACCCCAAGACGCCTGCAGGTCACAGATGGGCGCCCAAGACACCACCTCTTGACACAGACCGCAGGCCCAGACATCCTGCCAAGATCCCACATTCGTGGCCCGCATGGGCCGCCTCTCTATCAGTTCGTACTATCCACGCTTCACCCTATGGCCCTGGAGCGGACCAATTCGCACAACGCTGATGAGAACATTACAACTCGACTAGCTGATCCTGCACAATGAAAAATTCAGATGCTAAATCTGGCAACAATCAGCATCTACTTGTACATCTGCAACGCTCGGATGAACACATTACCAACTGGAACAAAGCTGGAGAGTGCAAATTCATAAGTACAGGTTCTAGAAAATGCACCGGCAAGCTGCCGTGGGCTCATCGCGACACGTCGGACAGAGAGAGCAGGGGAAATTGCAATTGGTCGCGAACGCGATCGCCGTTCCCCTGAAAGGTGGACGCCTGATAACCGAACTCCCTCGCGAGGGCCCGCAGCTGCCCGTCACAGTATTGCCAGAAGCCGCGTTCCAAACACCATGGCCCCATTTCAGATCGAGGGAGCAGCCGCGCTCTTGTGAAAGCACTCCCCTGGAACACCTGCAGGATTTCTGCGGAACCCTAAGGATTCCTGATGCAGGCTTGAGGAGTCCTGAGGGCCCCGGAAGAGCCCTAAGGACTCTTTTGACAAATCCCGGGGAGCCCGAAGGAGCCCGGACCCTGAGGAATCCTGAGGACCCCTGAGGAAACCTGAGAGGCCCTCAGGAATCCGGGGAAAGCCTGAAGATCTTTGAGAAACCCTGAGGAGCACTAAGGAATCTAGGTACATTTCGAGGAATCCCGAGGAACCTTTAGGAACCAGAAGAAGTCCAGGGAGGGGGGCGAGGAATCCTGAGGATCCCTGAGGCACTCTGAGGAATCCTGGGGAGTCATGGGGAATCCTGAGGAAACCTGCGGCTGCCTTAGGAATCCGGAGGAATCATGAAGAATCCTGCGAACACCTGAGGATCCCTGAGGGTCCCCGATGAATCCTTGGGAATCCAGGAGACCAGAGGATCCCTGAGAAATCCAAAGGACATCTGGGAAATCTGGAGGATCCCAGAGGAACCCTAAACCTTCAAGAATTCTCAGGGGTCCTGGGGAATGCTGAGGATCCCTGGTGCTTTTTTTTCTAGCAGCGAGCTTCGGAGGGCCCCCCCGTCGCTCGTTGGCCTTTGCTCCCCCCCTCAGGGGCCTCCAGGCAGCATTGTTACCAACAGCAGCAACACCACCACCACCACAACCACCATCAACACCACCGACAACAACAACAGCAACACCAGCAACAGCAACAGCAACAACAACAACAACAACAACATCAGCAACAGCAGAAACAGTCACAACAACAGCAGCAACAACAAGCACAACATCACCAACAACACCAACAACGACAACAACAACCGACGACACCCCCAACAACAAAAACAACGACACCGACACCGACAGCAACAACCATCCAGACCGCATAACCTCACTTCAGCGACGCGCCCAGGGGCAGTGAATGGCCGTTCGGCCCCTTAACTCTGGTGATAGGTAATGTGGTAACGTGTGCTCCGATATGCCATATCATGCTTTGTTACGCTGTGTTGTGCTATGCTATGATCTATCATATTATGTGAGGCTGTGACATGCTCTGTTTTGATATGCTTTGATATGATCATTTCTGCGATGCATTATTGTGGCATGCTTGCTTTGCCATGATATGTAATGTTTTGTGCTGTGATGCTGTGCTATGACATTCACTTCTCTGTCGTGCTGTGTTGTGCTACGAATCATGCCATGGCATGGTGTGATCGGTCATGTTCTGTCGGACGGCGTAATGTTATGCGCTTTTCTGTCATAAATTATTGTGTTGTATTGTACTATATGTTATACTGCTGCTCTGTCATGTTATGATGTGTCGACGCGAGGCGGGACACTCGGACTCGGGAGCCTGGGGATCTGGCGGCCGCGGTATGCAGAGGGGCGCGAGGCGGGATTATCGGGGATACTCGGGAGCGTGGGGATCTGGCGGCCGCGGTATTCAGAGGGGCGTGAGGCGGGATTCTCAGGGATGCTCGGGAGCCTGGGGATCTGGCGGCCGCGGTATGCAGAAAGGCGCGAGGCGGGGCCCTCGAGGATACTCGGGAGCCTAGGGATGTAGCGGCCGCGGTATGCAGAGGGGCGCGATACGGGATTCTCGGGAATACTCGGGAGCCTGGGGATCTGGCGGCCTCGGTATGCAGAGGGGCGCGAAGCGGGACCCTCGAGGATACTCGGAAGCCTAGGGATGTGGCGGCCGCGGTATGCAGAGTTGCGCGAGACGGGATTCTCGGGGATACTCGGGAGCCTAGGGATCTTGCGGCCGCGGTATGCAGGGTGGACAGGTCGGGAGGTCTGTTCTTAACATCTGCGTAACGACCCCAGTCTGTCGGGTGGGCAACAATACACGCACACACAAACACACACAGGCAGACACATACAGACACACACAGACACAAACAAAGGCACACACGCAAGACACACAGACACACACACAGAGACATACATTGGCACATACGCAGATACACACAGACATGCACAGACATACATACACACAGACACACACACAGGCACAAAGAGACACAAGCAGACACACACACACACAAACAGACACACACTCACAGGCACACAGGCACACGAAAAGACACCCACACGTAACACACAGACAGACAGACACACACATCAGATACACATAGACACACAGAGACACACAACATTACAGACACACACACACAGAGACACACACACAGACAGACACACACACTTTTTGCGTCGGCGGCTAGGCAGAGTCACTGCGCTGGCGATGGAGCGTTCGCGGGGTGCACAGAACGCGAATCAAGCCGAGATGCGCGGGGGAGGGAGGAAGAGAGCCCGGCGCCGGCAGGAGGAAGACGGCAGCCGGGCCCGCTCAGAGCTCAGCGAGCGAAGAACGGTACAACATAAACTTTTTCGCTGTCGGGGGCGCCTGTCCCTGGGCGGCTGGGAAGTTTATCCCCCTACGGTGCCACTGTAAGGGTACGAACTTTCCAGCCGCCATGGGGCAGGTGCCCCCGACGGCGAAGCAGTTTGTTTTGTACCGTTCTTCGCCCGTTGAAGAGCGGGGCCAGGCGGCGGCGGCGGGGGGCGGCAGGAGCCGGGGGCCAGGCAGCGCCGGCGTGGCGGCTTGGGGGGGGGGGGGGGGGGGAAGGCTTGCTCAGTTGCGGCACGTGCGACTACCTCCTCCCTCCTCCTCCTCCCCCTCCTCCTCCTCCTCCTCCCTCCCTCCTCCTCCTCCTCCTCCTCCTCCTCCTCCCCCTCCCCTCCCCCTCCCCCTCCCCTCCCCCTCCCCCTCCCCTACCCTCCCTCCTCCTCCCTCTCCTCCTCCTCCTCCTCCTCCTCCTCCTCCTCCTCCTTGGGTGCCGAGGTCGCGGAGACCTGCGAGGCGACCCGAGATGGCCAGCGAGGGGCACCTCAGGGGCGGGCACGGGGCGGCGCCAGGGGAGGGACATTGACGGGGCCCACAAACACACAAATAAATACACACAAATAAACAGATTCCCCATATTTTCTAATATTTTCGGGTTTTTTGTCTTCCCCCCCACTTCCCATATTTCCCCATATTTTCCTGGGAATCGACGATTAATTGTGTCCGTGTCTTTTTTCCTCTCCTGAGGGCAGGAGCAGCGCCCAGGGGGAAAGGAGCCAGCAAGAGCTGGAGGTGGGGGGGCACGCGAGGGCAGAAGGCCAATTGGGAGCCGAGGCCACGGGTGACCTGCGAGGCAGCCTGAGACGGCCGAAGCGAGACCACCTCGAAGGGGAAGTGCCGGCCTGGCAAAGCGCAAGGCACGAAAGGGAGGCGTGGGCGGCGAGGCTGGCCGGGCCTGAGACGGGGCGGGGAAGCCACAGCCCGGCGGCGGCGGCCAGGGAGAGACGGCGAGCGCCGGGGGCAAGAGGAGCACTCGCCAGGAGGCTGGAGGAGGCAGAGCAGTTCAGCCGCCCAAGGCCGACGAAACGGAGCGAGGCACGCTGGCGGGACGAGGGCCGCGAAGACGGACCCGTCCAGGGCGGAGGGGGCGGAGAGCCACTGCCCAGGGCGAGGCTGCGGGCGATGCGGCCCAGCAGCAAAAACCTGCAGAGAGCCAGCGCACCGACGCGAAGCGGCCGGTGGCGCCAGGGGTGGGCGCCTTCGCCCGTGGGCGGCAGATGCGAGGCGGGAGGGGGGAGGAGGAGGAGGAGGAGGAGGAGGAGGAGGAGGAGGAGGAGGAGGGGAGGAGGAGGAGGAGGAGGGGAGGGAGGGAGGAGGGAGGAGGAGGAGGAGGGAGGAGGGAGGAGGAGGGAGGAGGGAGGAGGGAGGAGGGAGGAGGGGAGGAGGAGGAGGAGGGAGGAGGGAGGAGGGAGGAGGGATGCTATGGAATGCTATGGAATGCTATGAAAGGGACAAATGTCCAGCAGGCTCCCCAGGGTGGCGCAGGTACCACTTCCGCCACCTAGGAGCCAAGACCCGACTGAGCTTAAGTCGGAGTCACCACCAAAAAGACCTCCCCTCGAGATCAAAAAAGGACGCAGCCTGCCCGCAAATGAGCGATATGCCATCGCCGAGGCTATCCGTGCGCGGCAAGTGCGCTCCCGCCTCCGCCTCAAAAAGGGGAGGCACGCCTTGACCCCGATGGCAGCAACAACGCTCGCGGGCGCACACGCGCCACCACACGCGACAGCGGCGTCGGGGATCCACCCATCCGACACCTGGCCGCCGCCGCGGGCCCGGGCCCGGGGCTGGAGACCATGCTCCGGAGACCAAGCTCCGCCCCTGCCCGCTGCCCACCACCCCCCCGCCGGGCGGGTAGACAGGGGAAGGACTGCAGAACCCCAGAGAGAGGAGGAGCCAAGAGAGGGGGGGGGGCGAGGGCCCCAGAAGGGGGAGGGACCCCAAGTAAGACGAGCCGCAGGGACCCCGCGCCAGGGGGGCCTGGCAAACGGGGGGCATCCCGAGCCCGCCCCACCCAGAGCCCCACCCCCACCCAGGGACAGCCAAGCCGAAGAGCGAGGAGAGCCAAGGAGCCAAGGAGCGGAGGAGCGGGGCACAGTCCCCCCCCGCCGACCCCCCCAACAGGGGGGTGGCTGCCGATCATCGGGCCGGCTACCCAGGGGGATTTCAGTTCCCCGAGGGACCTGGCGTGCCCCCCCCACGCGCAGGTGCCCCCCCTCGGGGCGAGGAGGGAGGAGGGAGGAGGGAGGAGGGAGGAGGAGAGGAGGGAGGGAGGAGGGAGGAGGGGAGGAGGGAGGAGGGAGGAGGGAGGAGGGAGAGGAGGGAGGAGGGAGGAGGGAGGAGGGAGGAGGGAGGAGGAGGGAGGAGGAGGGAGGAGGAGGGAGGAGGCGGGAGGAGGGAGGGGGAGGAGGAGGAGGGAGGGGGGGGAGGAGTGGAGGGGAGGGAGGGGGAGGAGGAGGGATGGAGGGAGGAGGAGGGAGGAGGAGGGAGGAGGAGGAGAGGAGGCAAGGAGGAGGAGGGAGAGGATGGAGGAGGAGGAGGGAGGAGGAGGAGGAGGAGGAGGAGGAAGGAGGAGGAGGAGGAGGAGGAGGAGGAGGAGGTGGAGGAGGAGGAGGAGGAGGAGGAGGAGGAGGAGGAGGAGGGAGGAGGGAGGAGGGAGGAGGGGAGGAGGGAGGAGGAGGAGGGAGAGGAGGAGGGAGGAGGAGGGAGGAGGGAGGAGGAGGAGGAGGGAGGAGGAGGAGGGAGAGGAGAGGAGGGAGGAGGGAGGAGGGGAGGAGGGAGGAGGAGAGAGGAGGGAGGAGGGAGGAGAGGGAGGAGGAGGATGGAGGAGGAGGGAGGAGGAGGCGAGGAGGAGGAGGGAGGAGGAGGGAGGAGGAGGGAGGAGGAGGAGGAGGAGGAGAGGGAGGAGGAGGGAGGAGGAGGGAGGAGGAGGAGGAGAGGAGGGAGGAGTAGGAGGAGGAGGAGGAGGAGGAGGATAGGAGGAGGAGGAGGAGGAGGAGGAGGAGGAGGAGGAGGAGGAGGAGGAGGAGGGGGGGGGAGGGAACGGGGGGGGGGCACGCGGACCGACGGGCGAGCAGGAGAGCCCAGGGGGCGGCCGGCAGGCCAGGCAGAGCGAGGGACGGGCGGAGAGGCTCGCCCCGGGACGGTCCAGTCCGCGAGCGGGGGAAGCGCGAGGTGCGGGCGAGCTGGCCCGGCACCAAGACCCTGCAGAAGGCAATCGCGCCGGCGCCGCGGATACTGAAGGGGCCCCAGGGCACACAAATCAATACACACACACATAAAGGTTTCCCTGTTTTCCCATATCTTCTGGGTTTTCTTCTTCCCCCCCCACTGCCCATAGTTTCCCATATTTTCGGGGGAAGCGGCGATTCATTGTGTCTGTGTGTTTTTCCCCTCCTGAGATACTTTTTTGGGTCCGCGGCTCCGAGGCGAGAGACAGGGAGCGAGCACAACGTCCGGGGCGCGGTACGTCACTAATTGGCGCGAGATTGCCGGGGACTCCAGCGGACGACACTCGCAGCGGCACATGCACATGCCAGGGACAAAATGCCCCTCATTGAGACGCCCTCCTGAGAGCGTGTGGTAGTGACACGGGGCGGGTGCCTCCGTCCAGGGGCAGCAGCGGCGGGGCGGGGGAGCACGGGGCCTGTCCACCCCGGGGCGGAGCGCGGCCCGCGCAAGGCGCTGTGGCAGGAGGAGGAGGAGCCCCACGGGCACAGAGGATAGGGCGGGCGAGGAGTAAACAGGGCTAGGATCGGGATAAACCGCTCCAGAGCGTTCCGGAGCGCTCTCAGAGCGTCGTTCCGGGACGCTCTGGAGCGGCCGCGGCGCCCCATACATCCTCCAAACGCGCCGATTCTCAGAGATCTCGAGTTATCCCGATCCGATGTTGTCACGATCTTCGCGTCGCTTTACAGAGGCCCGGGGGGCGGCCGGCCGGCCGGGCAGAGCGGGGGAGGGCGGGGGGCGAGGCGGGCGGCAAGGGCGGAGCAGGACGCCCAGGCGGGGCGGGAGGCGCCCAACCAAAGGGGGGAGGCGGGGCAGGGCGGCAGGACCGGCCCGCGCAAAGGCCCGGGGCAGCCGCGGGCGGCCAGCGGGCCGCCCCAGCGAAGAGGCGCTGGGGTCAAGCAGAATTAGGTGGACTCGGCAGATGCAGCAGCGGCGGCGAGGCAGGCGTGGGCGCCCGTGGCAGCCGGCCACCCGGGTGGGGCCAGGAGGTCAGGTGCAGGTGGCCACCGACGCCCACGGCAGCGTGCCAAGGATCTGCCGAGGCCGGGTGGCCAGTATGGCGAGGAGCACCCGCGGAGATGCTTCGCGGGGCTGCCGCGCCTTGCGAGTGCGCCGAGGGTGTGTGTGTGTGTGTGTGCCCAGGCCTGGGCGGAGGGGGAACGCACCGAAGCGGTGCACGGACTTGTGGGGCGGGCCAGCCGCGAGGCGGCGGGCAGCCCGAGGGCCAGCAGAAGCACGCGAGGGCAGCCCGCGCTGGACGGGGCCCCTGCGACGGCCTCTGAAGAAGGCCGTTCGGTGACGCCAGCGAGGAGAAAGATCTGCAGCCAGCCCAGGGCTGGCGCCTGGGACAGGACTCCAGGGCCGTTCGGAACCTCAACGAACTCGATGCCGTAGGACGGGGACAGGAATCCGGGAAGCTTGTAGCACTCGTGGACAACGTAGCCGATAGTGGGGAACATGAACACGCGCCCGTGCTTCAGCTCAGCCTCCTGCCGGCGCGCGACAGACACACACACACACAGACAGACACACACACAGACACACACAGACACGCACACATAACGCACAGAAGTAGACACACACACACACACAGACAGCCGCACATAGACACACACACACACACAGGCACCAACAGACTGACACAGACAGACAGACACACAGGGACATGGACACACACACAGACACAGAAAGACGCACACACAGACACACACAGACTCACACAGGCACACAGAGAGACACAGACACAGTGACCCACAAAGACACACAAAGACACATAGAGGCACACAAACATACACAATGACGTACGGAAACACGCACAGACACAGCCAGACACACAGACATACCGGCACACAATGACACACGGGGACACGCATGGACACAACCAGACACACAGAGACACCGACACGCACGTAAACACACAGACACGTAGACACACAGACCCACAGACTGACAGACACACAGACATACAGAGAGACAGACGCACAGACACACAGGAACACAGACACACAGACACATAGACACATATAGACGCACAAGCACAGACACACACACACACACGAACACACACACGCACACACACACACACACGCACGCACGCACGCACGACTGCACGCACGCACGCACGCACGCACGCACGCGCACGCACGCACGCTCGCTCGCTCGCTCGCTCTTCCACACAACACACACACACAACGCACGCACGCACGCACGTACGCACGCACGCACGCACGCATGCACGCACGCACGCATGCACACACGCACACACGCGCACCCACGCGCACGCACGCGCACCCACACGCACCCACACGCACCCACACTCACCCACACGCGCACCCACACGCGCACCCACACGCGCACCCACACGCGCACCCACACGCGCACCTACACGCGCACCTACACGCGCACCCACACGCGCACCACACGCGCACCCACACGCACCCACACGCACCCACAAACGCACCCACACACGCACCCACAGCGCACCCACACGCGCACCACACGCGCCACACACGCGCACCCTCACGCACCCACACGCGCACCCACACGCGCACCCACACGCGCACCCACACGCGCACCCAACCACAAGCGCACCCACACGCGCACCCACACGCGCACCCACACGCGCACCCACACTTGCACCTACATGCGCACCTACACGCGCACCCACACGCGCACCCACACGCGCACCCACACGCGCACCCACATGCGCACCCACATGCGCACCCACATGCGCACCCACACGCGCACCCACACGCGCACCCACACGCGCACCAACACCACGCGCACCAACACCACGCACACACACACACACATGCACACACACACACACGCACACACACACACACACTTGTTACTCCGATGCGCTGGTAAACTCTAGTCGACGGATGCAAAGCTAGCTGGAACGGCGGCCTGGGGTCGCATTCGACCAGGGGCAGCCGAGGGCGGTGCCCAGCAGACCAGCGGCCGCTCCCACGGATCGCTCAGCTTCTGCAATGCCTGATCGGACAACCCCGTCCCTCGTTTCCCGCCACTGCCTCCACTCCTCTCCCAGGCCCGTCCCCTGAACACCTCCACTCCCCTCCTCCCCTCTCCTCCTCCTCCACTCCACTTGCCCCTCTCCTCCCCCGCTTCCCTGCCTCTGTGCTTCTCCCCCCTCCCCTCCCCCGTACTCTCCTCTCCACTCCCGTCCGCTCTTGGGGCCGTGGGCTGCAAGAAGTTTCAAATTTGCAGGTCGCAATGAAGCTTTGTAAAGAAAGGCTTTACTATGCGGACCTCCTCCTCCCGTCCACCTCTCCTCTTTCCATTCTCCTCGCCGGCATGCCTGGCTGAAAGAGAGCACGGGGAAGGTGGAATGAGAGGTCTCTCCCAAATCCAAGACGCCGCCTTAAGAAACACGATCCGTGCGAGCACCACTGTGACCATCCCACATGAGGTGCCAAAACGCAAAATGGTGTCCAAACTTGAAGCTTACCAGGGCGCCTCCACGTAGACCTCGCTGAGGAACTCTGTGTCCACCAACCGCTCGAGATCCTGTGGGAGACGCGCTCATTTTCTGTACGGGGTCCTGATAGCCTGCGGGCCTCTTGCTGGACTTCGCGGAGGAGCGGATCGTCCAACACGCAAGTCCAAGCCACCAACGGACTGCTCCGGTGTGAGAGCTTGCTGTCCCATAGCTTCATGCCTGGATTTTTCTTCTTTGAACCTTCCCAGACTACGCAATCTGGCCCTCAGAACGGCCCAAGCTGGCCACAGATGGCCGCCAGAATTTCCTCAGATGGTGTTAAGAGGCGTCCAAGTTGGCCCAAGACGGCTCCAAGACGGCCGAAGATGGCCCCAACACGGCCCAAGATTGCCTCAAGGCGGCCCGAAAGGCTTCCAATACCACCCAAAATGGCTCCAAGAGGGCCTCCAGGAGGGTCCGACGATGCAAACATCATACACTCCCCAAGAAATAGTTTAATTACGTAGCACCCCGCAGATTCGGAGAAGAATGAGGGGGCGGTGAGGACGTCGGCAGTTTGCGAGGCTCTGGAGAAGCCCGCCGCAGGCGCCAACGTTTCACAAATTATACCACGAGCCCGCCGCAGACGCCGATTTTCGTTAAACCAATGCGGGTGGGTCGCGGGTGGGTCGCAGATGGGTCGCTGTTGGGCCGCGGGTGTAGAGGGCAGAACATCCACCCAATACTAATCACCCCGACAGGCGAAGCCGTTCAGCAATCGCGCACAAGGCATGACACGAACAGAGCAGGGCTGTTTAGTTAACGCCCAGGGCCGTTTAGTAAACGTCAATTGGCGGGTCTGGGTGGTTTTTCCTCCCTTCAAGGTGGGTCGCGGGGTGAGTCGCGGGTGGGTCGCGGGGTGGGTCGCAGATGGGTCGCGGATGGGTCGCGGATGGGTCGCGGTGTGGGTCGCAAGGTCGGTCGCGGGGTGGGTCGCGGGTGGGTCGCGGGTCGGTCGCGGGGTGGGTCGCGGGTGGGTCGCGGGTTGGGTCGCGGGTGGGTCGCGGGGTAGGTCGAGGGGTGGGTCGCGGGGTGGGTCGCGGGGTGGGTCGCGGGGTGGGTCGCGGGGTGGGTCGCGGGATGGGTCGCGGAGGGGTCGCCGGTGGGACGACGACAAACAACAAAACCACCAACAACAACACCACCAACAACAACACCACCAACGACAACAAGAGCAGCACTCAGTTTAAGACATGCTGATCTTATTTGATGGCGTGTCACGCAACAAATATAGTTCCCAACCCTCCGATACCCGCCCTCTTTGTCTTCGGCCGTACCCCTCGGGGGTATATCTTCCTTTCCTGTCTCTCACATTCAGCGCAACCCCTAAAACAGGGGAAGGGAGGACGGACGGGGGAAGAGAAGGATGGACCACGCGAGAGGGCCTCTCGGAGCAAATCGCGAGGAAGCATCGAGCGGGAGCCCTTGTCATCGCGGCTGCGTCCCCACTAATTTGACTGAGTTGCGAGGATGTCCACAGCGAGAGCGCTGTTCCTGAGTTCGGGAACCTCTCTGGCCAAGGCCTCCCACATCGGGAAGAAATATTGAGCGGGAGCCTTGTCGTCGCGGCGTGGCATCCGCGAACTTGATTGAATTGCGAAGAAGTCTCATGCGAGAGCGCCGTTCCTGGGACCTCTGCGTGCTGGGGCCTCTGTAGGCGCGCTTGGGGCCCCTGTGGGCTGCGTTGGGGGGCCTCAATCAGCGCGCTGGGGCCTCTGCGGGCGCGCTTGGGGCCTCTGCGGGCTGGGGCCTATGCATGTGGGCGCGCTTGGGGCCTCCGTGGGCTGTGTCGGGGGGCTTCAGTGGGCAGCGCGCTGGGGCCTCAACGTGCGCGCTTGGGGCCTCTGTGGGCTGGGACCTCTGTAGGCTGCGTCGGGGGCCTCAGTGGACAGCGCGCGGGGGCCTCTATGGGCGCGCTTGGGGCCTCTGCGGGCTGGGGCCTCTGTGGGCGCGTTTGGGGCCTTTGTGGGCTGCGTCGGGGACCTCAATGGGCAGCGCGCTGAGGCCTCTCCGGGCGCGCTCGGGGCCTCTGTGGGCTGGGACCTCTGTGGGCTGTGTCGGGGGCCTCTGCGGGCTGGGGCCTCTGTGGGCGCGCTTGGGGCCTCTGTGGGCTGTGTCGGGGGGCCTCAGTGGGCAGCGCGCTGCGGCCTCTGTGGGCGCGCTTGGGGCCTCTGCGGGCTGGGGCCTGTGTGGGCTGCGTCGGGAACCTCAGTGGGCAGCGCGGGGAAGCCTCCGTGGGCTCGCTCGGGGCCTCTGCGGGCTAAAGCCTCTGTGGGCGCGCTTGGGGCCTCTGTGGGCTGTGTCGGGGGCCTCAGTGGGCAGCGCGCGGGGGCCTCCGTGGGCGCGCTTGGGGCCTCTGTGGGCTGGGGCCTCTGTGGGCTGCGTCGGGGGCCTCAGTGGGCAGCGCGCTGGGCCCTCCGTGGGCTCGCTTGGGGCCTCTGCGGGCTGAGACATCTGTGGGCGCGCTTGGGGCCTCTGTGGGCTGTGTTGGAGGCCTCGGTGGGCACCTCCGTGGGCGCGCTCGGGGCCTCTGTGGGCTGAGGCATCTGTGGGTGCGCTTGGGGCCTCTGTGGGCGTTGTCGGGGGGGCTTCAGTCGGCAGCGCGCTGGAGATTCCGTGGGCGCGCTAAGGGCCTGTTGGCTGGGGCCTAAGTGTGCAGCGCGAGTGGGCGCGCTTGGGGCCTCTGTGGGCGCGCTGGGACCTCTGTGGGCTACCTCTGCGGCCTGTGCCGGAGGGCTTCAGTGGGCAGCGCGCGGGGGGATCGGCGCGCTTGGCGCCTCTGTAGGCAGGAGACTCTGCGGGCGCGTGTGGAGCCTCTGTAGGAAGTCGGGGCCTTAGTGGGCAGCGCGCTGGGGCCTCTGTGGGCACGCTCGGGGCCTCTGTACGCTGTGTCGGGGGTCTCAGTGGGCAGCGCGCGGGAGCCTCTGTGGGCGCGCTTGGGGCCTCTGCGGGCTGGGGCCTCTGTGGGCGCGCTTGGGGCCTCTGTGGGCTGTGCCGACGGGCCTCAGTGAGCAACGCGCGGGGGCTTCTGTGGGCGTGCTCGGGGCCTCTTTGGGCTGGGGCCTCTGTGGGCTGTGTCGGGGGCCTCTGAGGAGCGGGGGGCCTCCGTGGGCAGCGCGTTGGGGCCTCTGCGGGCACGCTTGGGGCAGGGGTTTGGGCCTCTGTGGGCTGTGCCGGACGGCCTCATTGGACAGCGCGCTGGGGCCACTGTGGGCGCGCTTGGCCTCTGTGGGCTGGAGCCTCTGTGGGCTGCGTCGGGGGCCTCAGTGGGCAGCGCGCTGGGCCCTCTGTGGGCGCGCTTGGGGCCTCTGTGAGCAGCGCGGGGGAGCTCTGTGGGCGCGCTTAGCGCCCATGTGGGCTGTGCTGGGGGGCCTGCGGGCAGCATGCTACGGTCCCTGTGGGCTTACTCTGGGCCCCAGTGGGTTGTGCGTTGGGGGCCTGTGTGCAGCGCGCCAGGACCTCGGTGGGCAAGGGCCTTTGCGATTACATCTTGAGGAAGTATCGAACGGGAGCCCTTGTCGTCGCATGTGGGCCTCCACCAATTCGATTGAATCATGAGGAACTCTCGAGCGATAGCGCCGTTCCTGAGCTCGGGGGCCTTCATGGCCAGGGGCTCTCGGAGTAAATCGTGACGAAGCATCGCGCAGGAGCCTTTGTCGTCGTGGCTGGGCCCCCGCCAACTTGATTGAATTTCAAAAAAGTCTCGAGCGAGAGCGCCGTTCCTGAGTTCGGAGGCCTCTCTGGCCAGGGTGTCTCGAAGTAATTTGTGAGGAAGCATCGAGCGGGAGCCGTTGTTGTCTTAGCTGGGCCTCCACAAGCGCACTTTTAGTGTCGAGCCAACGCTCGAGCGGGAGCCTCGTTTTCATGAAAAATGTAGCCGGCGTCGAGGCGAGAGCGCCCGGAACGGTTTCCGGAGATCAGCAATAACTATTCTCTAGACATGATTATACAACAACAACAAAAACAACAACAGCAGCAACGACAACAATCGTTTTACCATCATGCGCGATGTTTCCACACGAAGCATGCGACCATCATGATAACCATCCCCATCATGGGGGACTCTTGTTTTATAGCGGGGTCCGTTATTCCCATTCCCAGATCTCCCGCCCAATGAGGTATTGCAAACACCTCTCTGAACAATTTCAACATATCCCACCTCGAAAACGCATGACCGCGCCTTGCTGCGCCGATGCGAGACTTCCAGTGGAGCCCCAGCCAAGGGTAAAGCACAAGGAAATACCTATACGACCACCCTGCGGGTGATAAGGAGGTTGTGTGGAGGGGGGGAAGGGGGGGGGCTCATGACGACAACTGTGGTGAATGTGGTGCTGATGGCCGATGACGGTGTGGATGACGTGGCGGATTTGTTTTTGTTCTTTCGATCTCACTATCGATCTCACTATCGATCTAACGACAGGACAACGGCGGGCGACCGACGGGACAATGCGGGCTACCGCTTGACACGCGCCAGCGGGGGAAACATTTATATTGGCGAACCACTAGCGACAGACAGGACAACGGCGGGCGACCGACGGGACAATGCGGGATACCACTTGACACGCGCTGGCGGGGGAAACATGTATGTTGGCGAACCACTAGCGACAGACAGGACAACGGCGGGCAACCGACGGGACAATGCGGGCCACCGCTTGACACGCGCCGGCGGGGGAAACATTTATGTTGGCGAACCACTAGCGACAGACAGGACAACGGCGGGCAACCGACGGGACAATGCGGGCCACCGCTTGACACGCGCCGGCGGGGGAAACATTTATGTTGGCGAACCACTAGCGACAGACAGGACAACGGCGGGCAACCGACGGGACAATGCGGGCCACCGCTTGACACGCGCCGGCGGGGGAAACATTTATGTTGGCGAACCACTAGCGACAGACAGGACAACGGCGGGCAACCGACGGGACAATGCGGGCCACCGCTTGACACGCGCCGGCGGGGGAAACATTTATGTTGGCGAACCACTAGCGACAGCATAATGAATTCCTCTCGCCCGCGCACGCAGCTTCGCCTCGCCCGCACGCACGACACGAACACGAAACCGAAACCGATTTCCCGGTGGGGGGCTCTCCGTTCCACTTCGATCTCACCCCGATTGAACGACAGGATTGCCTTGGCGGACATGGGGGCTGTCAGCGGCGAGGCAAGGACCTGGCCCTGAACAGAAAGGGAGGAAGTCTCGAGCAGGGCCGCTGTTGTTGCGGGGGGCGGCGCAAATGCTGGAGAGAGTAGGGCGGTAGTTCAGCGTAAAACAAAACGAAGTCTCGAGCGGGAGCGCTGGTTTTGTTGTCGGCGGCGAGGAGGAACACCGCCTTGAGTAGGAAGAGAGGAAGTCTCAAGCGGGAGACGTGGTTTTGTCGGGCCGGGGGCTGTCGGCGGCGAGGAAAAGCACCGCTTTGAGGAAAAAGGAAGCCTCGAGCGGGAGCGCTGTCTTGCTGGGAGCGGCGCAAATTCAAAAGAGAGTAGGGCGCCAGTCCAGCGTAAAACGGGTGGAAATCTCGGGCGGGAGCGCTGGTTTTGTCGGGACGGCGGTTTTCGGCTTTTCGGCGGCGAGGAGGAGCACCGCCTTGAGTAAAAAAGGGAAAAAGTCTCGAGCGGGAGCGTTGTTGTTGCTGGGGGCAACGCCGACGAGAGAAAGAGTAGCGCGCCAGTCCAAGGTACAACGGGAGGAAGTCTCGAGCGGTAGCGCTGGTTTTGCTGGGACGGCGGCTTTCGGCGGCGAGCAAGAGCACCGGCCCTGAGTAAAAAATGAGGGAATCACGAGCGGAAGCTTTGTTGTTGGGGGCCTGTTTTGGCGCCCCCCCAAACCGCTCGAGCGAGAGCCTCATTTTTAATGAAAATGCAGCCGGCGCCAAGGCGAGAGCGCCAAAGCGCCTAGGGGGGTCCAACAAGAATCGTTGCTGAATAATTAACATTCAACAGCAACAACAACAGCAACAACAACAGCAACAACAACAACAACAGCAACAACAACACCAACGACGACGACGACATCAGCAAGTGCAACAGCAACAACAACAACACATGTGACACGTGACCTTCTTGCCCCTTCACCGGGAAACTTGGTCAACGCTTGTCCTTAAAGGACAAACCGTGACCTTGCTTCCCGGGGGTAAGCAAGCCCCCCCCCAGCAACCAGCAACCAAGAACCTCGGGCTCCATTCCTCGCTCCGCTGTAACTTCGCTTGCGTAAAAATGTGAACTCCTCCATCATGCAATGTTTCCATGTCTGCACCAGCGAAGCCCCAGAATGTATAGCTCCTATAAAATCCTGTCGGGATCCGGTCCGGATCCTATGCGATCTTATAGAGATCCTTTGCGTTCCTACAGGGATCCTATAGGAATCCCAAAGGGATTCTAGAAGGATCCCATGCGATCCTGTAGGGTCCGATTGGAATCGTATAGGGATTGTATAGGAATCCCATGCGACCCTGTCGGGTCCTATAGGAATCGTATAGGGAATGTAGAGGAATCCCATGCGATCCTGTAGGGTCTTGTAGGGATCCTATAGGGATTGTATAGGAATCCCCTGGTATCCTAGAAGGATCCCATAGGAATCGTGTAGGATTGTATAGGGATCCCATGCGATCCTATAGGGGTCCGGTAGGAATCGTATAGGAATTGTATAGAAAATCCCATGCGATCCTATGGGACCCTATAGGAATCGTATACGAATCCCATGCGATCCTACAGGATCCGATCGGAATCGTACAGGGATTGTAAAGGAATCCCATGCGATCCTGCAGGGTCCTACAGGAAACTAGAGTGATCGTATGATAACCCCATGCCATCCTATAGGGTCCTATAGGTTCCTATACGACCCTATACGATCCTATAGGGATCCCATAGGAATCGTCTAGGGATTGTAAAACGAATCCCAATGCCATCCTATAGGATCCTATAGGCATCGTGTACGGATTTTTATAGGAATCCCATGCCATCCTATAGGGTCCTATTAGGCCCCTGTAGGGATCCTATGCGATCCTGTAGGATCTCATAAGGAATCCCATGTAGATTCTATAATAACCCCATGCGACCCTGTAGTACCATATCGGAATCGTATAGGGATTGTTTGAGAATCCCATGCGATCCTGTAGGGTCCTGTCGGGGTCCTATAGGGAGTGTATAAAAATCCCATGCGATCCTATAGGGATCCCATAGGAATCGTCTAGGGATTGTAAAAGAAATCCCATGCGATCCTATAGGATCCTATAGGGCTCCAATCGGGATCCTATGCGATCCTACAGGACCCGATGTGAATCCTATAGGATCCTGTCTGGATATAGGAATCCCATGCGACCCTGTAGGATCCGATCGGAATCGTATAGGGATTGTATCGGATTCCCATGCGATTGTATAGGCACCCCATGCGATCCTATAAGGTCCTATAGGAATCCGATGGGGATTGCATCGGAATCCCATGCGATCGTGTAGGATCCTGTAGGAATCTTATGGGACCCAATGCGATCCCTCCTGGATCCTATGGGGATCCCATAGGGATTTTGTAGGAATCCCATGCGTCTCTAAAGGATCCCATCGGAATCGTGTAGGGACTGCATAGGAATCCCATGCGATCCTATGGGATTGATATCCACCCCGACCTAGTCATCACCCCCTTCTTTTTCACCCCCGAGCCCCCTCACTCTGACTTTCGTGTCTCGGCCTCTCCGTTCGCCGACACCCCAAGACGGCCCGAGAGGCCCTCGAGATGAACTACTCCGAGACTGCCGAAGAGGCCCCCGAGAGAGCCCCGGGGCCGCCCAGGCGATCCCCAGGATAGCCCCACGACCCAAGAGGAGGAGGAGGAGGAGGAGGAGGAGGAGGAGGAGGAGAGGAGGAGGAAGGAGGAGGAGGGGAAGGAGGAGGAGGAGGAGGAGGAGGAGGAGAGGAGGAGGGGGAAGGGGGACGAGGAGGAGGAGGACGGAGGAGAGGAGGAGGAGGAGGAGGAGGAGGAGGAGGGGAGGAGGAGAGGAGGAGGGAGGAGGAGGAGGAGGAGGAGGAGGAGGAGGAGGAGGGGATAGGAGGAGGAGGAGGGGAGGAGGAGGGGGAGGAGGAGAGGAGGAGGAGGAGGAGGAGAGGAGGAGGAGGAGGAGGAGGAGGAGGAGGAGGAGGAGGAGGGAGGAGGAGGAGGAGGAGGAGGAGGAGTGATCCCCCAGGCAGCCCCGCAAACGGCCCTGCAGGGTCCCAGGAGAACCCCACGCCTGTCCAGAAGGCCCCCAGACGGCCTTCGCAGGCGGCCTCCGAGGGCGCCACACGGCGCCAGCCGGCCCAAGATGGACCCCAGGAGGCCAGCAAGAAGGCCCGCAAGTCCCGAAGAGAGCCCCAAGACTGCCCCCCGACGGCTCTGCCCCATTGTCCCCCCAGTGGTCTCCCCAACAGCCTGACAGCTGGAGGAACACGCAGTGCACGAGCTTGGCTGCACTCTCGCTCGACGTTTCACGACACAGCTGTTTTAAGAAGGCAGGGGACGGCGGTGACTGGGCGACTGGCCGTAGACGCCCTCTAAATGAAGATCATGATTCCTCCTCCTCCGACACCCCTCGCCGGGTTGCACCGGATAGCACTGTGAAGCTGAATAATACTTGCTGGTGCCTGTGCCATCATGCATTCACGCAAGTCATATCGTTTCAAGCCCTCTGTCAAAGGCAATACCCTCCTCCTTCTCCTCTTCCATCTGCCTCTTCAGAGAAGGCCACAACTCCCTCTGAATACACAGCAATTGTCATTCCCACCTATAACACGAAAACTTCACATCATATTGCACAAATATGCGTCGCATTTCGCTGACTGATCCAATTTTCGCTCTAATTCATTGTCGCCGCCTTTGTGAAGACATATGCGGTGACTGAAAACGTGATGTCCTCCCGTTGCCGCGCGGCCTGCACCAGGAGGTCTATGGAGGCAATACCGAACTTCGCCACCGTGGCGCGCACGTACTGGCAACGGTCCGCATGTAGACTAATGTAGGTAATCGCGGACGTCTCAACACTAGCCAGACAGTCGCAAACATACGCGTCAATACTAGCTGCACGAGGAGTCCCAAGGCTCCCCTCCTCTTCGCATCTTCGCTGTCAGGCACGATTCCCATCACCCAGGGGACTGCGGATCTGAGTGACGGGGCAGGAGCCGTGGATGGATCGCGGCAGCGGGGGCGAATGGCGTGCTGCAGAACCAGCAGCGTGCAGAACAGCTCGCCGCGCGCGCTGATTTGTCTGCACGAAGACGTGGCCGGGTCGCCGGATGGGTCCAGTGGATAGGTCGCGGGTCGGGTCGCGGTTCGCGGGTCGGGTCGCGGGTGGGTTGCTAGGCCGGCCGCGGGTGGGTCGCGGGGCGGGCCACGGGCGGGCCGCGGGCGGGTCGCGGGGCGGGTCGCGGGTGGGTCTCAGCCGGGCCATAGGCGGGTCGCTGGGCGACGGCGACGGCAATACCAACCAGAATCTGGACCGCATAACCCAAGTTCAATCATGCGTCAAGGGGCACTGCGTTCGGCCGTTCATTCTGATGACGACAACCAGGGATACTCGGCATGAGAGATCATTGAACATACGTGCGGTGGCACATATTGGCAAACACCCTAAGTTGAATGACAGACACATTGCGGCGGAGAGTCACGAAACAACAAAAAGTCGAGGAGCCAAACATCACTTGCTGTACGCTTGGCCCTGCCTGCAACTGCGCCAACTCTGAGCCTCCGACACAGAGCATTGCCTTGCTCCCTCTCTCGCGCCGGAAGGGTGAATCGCCACAGTGGCCGCCGTGCGCTCGTTCGCGCTGGCGTTGCCGTGACAACGACGGTGGTAACTCAACGCGCTGCCCGCTTCTCTATGTGCCGTCGAAGAAACGTGCGCGTACATGAACCTAGACGACACGTGCGCCGGGCCCATGGCTGTACATGGGGGGGGCATGGAACCGTGAAACCCCACCTCGTGCTCCATGTGCTTCGTAATTCTTTGGCGACGAGGTCCTTGCAAGTGCCGGGTCCCCTGCGCCCTTCGTGGGCGATGGCGTTGGCGACACCACGGTCTCTTCACGGGGTCGACGTCCTCCTCCTCCTCCCTCCCTCCTCCTGAGGTGCGGAGGCAGAGGACGGCGAGCGGAACAGCGAGGAGCGAGGAGGGAGGATTCGGAGGAGATAGCTGAAGGACGGGCATGACGAGTGACGATTGGTGCTGGTGATGCTGATGGTGAATCTGAGGAAAGCGGAGAAACGCGAACGGGAATGGCGGTGAATGACGGTGGAGGAAGTCTACACGTCGTTCATTTCTAATCGTGCTCATTTCTAATTCTGCTCGTTTCTAAAATGGTTCCTGGCCTGCTAGTGGCCAGGGAGAGGCCCAGGAGACAGCAATGAGAATTGAAAGGATCTTGGCCCCCCGAAAAATCAAAGAACCTCCAAATCATTCGAAAAGAACAGCGTGTAGGGCGCGAGCTGTCGAAGCCGCATCGGCTGTGCAGACGTGGGCGCACGAATGGCCTTCGGACGGCGGCCTGTCCCCGATTCCCCCCGTCTCCACAGGCCCTGGAGAGAACGCAGGGGCCCCAGTGTGCTCTGGGGCGTGGGGAATGTGAGGAGAGGGGTGAGGAGGAGGAAGAGCAGGAGGAGGAGAACGAGGAGCAGGAGGAGGAGAAAGCGAAGGAGGAGTAGGAGGAGCAGCCGCAGGATGAGAAGGCGGCGGAGGATGATCAGGGATGAGGGTGACAAGGAGGCTGCCCGCCTTCCACTTCGGCTCGTTCAGTTCGACGGACACCAGCATGCACACGCTCGTCAAAGACTCAAATATGGCTCCCAGAGCCTCGTTGTGGGAGGGGGGGGGGCTGGCAATCGCAAGGCAATGGCAGGCCTGGGGGAAGTTCGCGAGGACGAAAAAGGCTCGGGGGCGTTCCTGAACAGCGCAATCCCGTGGCAGGACGCTGATGGTGGCGACCGTCGAACGACTGAGGAAACCAATGGTGACCGCACGCGTATCCATATTCACGCCCTCGCGGTCTGGATTTCGTGGCGCAATCCCGCGGAGGTCGTACGGATACGTTCCGCTCGGGGCTTCCGCGAAAAAAACGCCCCGTATCCCCAGGCTCGTGGCCAAGATATGTTTTGCCCACGGCCCTCGCTAAGAACGACTGGGGACCAGACCTGGTGGGCGCATACCCTCCAACAGTGCGGCCTGAATGCCGTCTCGAGAAACGAAACAAGGCAATTCGCTGTTCGACTGAACAGGGGGCTTGTATCAGCCTGCGATCCCCCTGCTGCGCAAGACCCGAGAGTGTTCATTCCAGATCCGCCACCGCACTTCGCGCACGCCCGCGGCTAGCGCTCGGCCAATAATGGCGTCGGTACCTCCGGACGCCGCCGAGTGTAGTTTTCCGAAGAGTGTCGAAAGGGCGGGCCGGGCGTTTCGCCTGAGACTTCCTCACTGCTTATGACCCACAGCTTCGCAGATGGAGGGCGGGTCGTTTCCAACATGTGCCTCTCGCCTGAGCGCCACGTACATTCGTTTTAAAGAACCAAAAAAGCTTCCTGGATTGAGGGCGTGTGGTTTTCAAAATGTGGTTCTCGCCCTGGCGCCGCGCACACTCGTCTTTAAGAGTTTGCAGCAGTTTCTCAATTGGAGGGCGGGTCGCTTCCCAGATGTGGTTTTCGCCCTCGCGCCGCGCACACTCGTTTGAAATAGTTGCAAGAGTTTGGGAGTTTGACGACGGGGGGTTTTCAACATGTGGCTCTCGCCTCTGTGCCGCGCGCACTCGTCCTAAGAATCTGCAGCCGTTTCACACATGGAGGGCGGGCCGCTTCCAAACTGTGCCTTCGCCTGGGAGTCGCGCGCACTCGTTTTTCACACATGCAAGAGCTTCGCGGATTGCGGACGGTTGGCTTTCAAAATGTGGCTCTCGCCATAGCGTGCGCACATTCGTCTTGAACAGTTGCAAGAGGGCTTCACGGATTCCCGTGGTCAACGCATCAAAAACTGTGTTGTGGAAAGGCTCAGGATTGTGAGGATGCAACAGTTACGTTGATTAGCGGTGTTCAAATCCCAGGAACGGTGTTCTGGTGCGATTCAGGGCCGAAGACGCAACAGTCAAGTTCATCAGTGGCGTGGGGGTCCCGAGAACGGCGTTTTGGCGCGCTCCATGGTCTTCAACCGGTTGTTTCAGTTCCCGCAGTGAAAATGAACCTTGTACGTGCCTAGAAAGAGGGAGCTTGGAGGGAGGGTTTATTCCAACATCTTTGATGAGTTTTGGGTTTAGTCTGTTCCTCCTCCTCCTCCTCCTCGTCCTCCTCCTCCTCCCCTCGCCACCCCGCGGGCCCCAGAGATGGCCCGAAGATGCCCTCTGAGGCCACCCCCATTGAAGGCACCCTTGCTCCCAGAGATCTCTCTGTTCATCCTTGTTGCCCGCTTGTTTCACGATATGTGTCCCTTCGCCCCTTTTCCCGTCAGCTCTCATGGACAGGGCTTCTGAACGGGGGTGGGGATACTTTTTTTGCTCGCGAGCGCAAGCGGGAGAGCCGCGCGCCGTCACAAAGTCGAGCAAGCCTGACGGCTGGGGCCAGAGACAGAGGCGACGAGCAAGCAGCACGCTCAGAAGTCAAGGACAGCCAAGCCCAAAGGGGGTGGGGATACGCGAAGCGTGAAGGATTGTCGAAATCGACTGGGTAATTGACCCGCGCCACGACCATGCCAGAAGGGGATGTTGCGGTCCCGATTGCACCAGGTTCTCCCAGACATCCCACCTGGCCAGTCGGACCACCCCTGCTGCCCCACCTCTCAGGGAGGCCCGGATTCACACCTGGCGAGGCGAGGGGAGGCGACGCGGTAGTATTTGGGGTAGTGGGGCAACGTGAGACGTAAGACACCTCTCTGGATCTCCCCCCTTTCTGTTTCTGTTTCTGCTTGCAAAGCCTAGGGCCCCTCCGGGGCCAGCTGTCTATCTCTATTCGCTCGTTGCTCAGAGGCGGGCGGCGCTGGTACCGCTTGCGCCTCCGATTGGAAAGACGAAATCGGCGTGGCGAAACATCCTCCCTTATCGGCTACACGTAAGAGTGACCCTGGGTAAGAATGACCTTTGCTGCGCGGCTTCGCGGGGCCGCAGGGGGGGCGGGGGGGCGGGGGCCACAACACAACACGAGCCAAGACGCCGCTGCCAGCCTCGCGTTCGGCGATCGCGGACCCCAATGGGCTCCGCACAAAAGGATCGACTCCGGCGAAGGCCGTCACTCTTAAGTGTAGTCGACCTATCCTCCCTCCCGTCTTCGGGGATTCGGATGCCAGCAGCGTCAGCATCAGGAGGAGAGGGAGCGAGGAGGAGGAGTGAGGAGGAGGAGGAGGAGGAGGCCAGCGAGGAGGAGGAGGCAGGAGGAGGTAGGCCGCAATCAGCCAGCAGACCCAACAACAAAAAGCCAGCACCTCCAATCGCCGGTCCTGCACCTCCCATCACGGCGACCCAGGGAGAGCCCTGCACCGCACGCCACAGCGGCCGCTCGGGGATCACCCTTGCCCAGAAATCGCTGGGAGCCGGGGCGTTCTGGGTCAGCAGCCTGCCCAAGGATAGAAGCACAACAAGGTCAATGCCCCCAAACTGTCCCCGAGAGCCAAGAGGCCCCCGAGAACGCTCGTCGCCGTCGTCGTCATTCAGGGTCGGCGGCAGCGGCCGTGAGGCCTTTGCAAACACAAGCACAGAAAGGTCAATGCACCAAAGACCTGACCTCGCCGCTTGAGCGCGAGCGCCTCGGGTTTAGGGTTTAGGGTTTAGGGTTTAGGGTTTAGGGTTTAGGGTTTAGGGTTTAGGGTTTCGTCGCCGCCGCGCCGGCCTTTACCCGCAGGTCCCACCACCGCTTGAGCGCGAGCGCCAGGTAGAGGCCCAGTACGAAGGGAACCTGGGCAGCAGAAGCGCTCGGAAGGCCGGGGGGCCCTTGCAATCCGGGGCGTCTCTCCCTCGACTGTCGGTCTCGGGGGTGGCCCCCCGGGGGGGAAGGGGGGGGGAGGGCGTTCGGAGGCCCGGGACAACATGACCCGGGACGCGCTGAGGCCCCCAAGGGGGAACCGACCGGTGATGGAGGACATCCGACAGGGCGCAAACATCTTCCGAGGGTAGCATCTCACAACAAGGCCACCGTGCACGATAGGGAGCCGTCGGCGGCGGCGGCGGGCTCATCAGGGGCACAAGTCAGGGTTCGGCCGATGCTGAACATTCCGAAGATGGCCCTGGCACCTCGAGTGCGCTCTAAAGCGGTGCATCGCACGTGGGGGGGCTCGCGCGCTCCTCGGCGCACAGAACAAACAGATGGCGGAGGGGAGCCCTCGAGCCTGCACGGTCCATCCACTGATCAATCGCGACGAGACCGGGCTCCCAGTCACGGGCTGGCGTGCTGTGACGTAGCGCTGCCGTTCCGCAGGCGTTTACAGTCGAGGCGTTGACCTAAGGAACCCTAAATAAGGAACGAGGCCCCTATTTTCCATAAGTTGAACTTCGATTTCCCATCGAAAACCCAAGAAAATCCAAGGCAAGCTGCGAAACAATTAAGGAACACGGAGCCCCTCCCCAACGAAAAGGATTCCTTCTTCAGGGCCCCGACTGTACCACGCCCAGGCTGATCAGGAGAGTGGCGCGAGCAGCGCGCCTCCCGCGCCTCCGCGAGGCGGACCGCGAGACCGAAGTAGCGGACGCCGCGCGGCTGCTGGCCAGACAGACTCTCACGCCCAGAGGCGCGGGCCCCCCCCCCCTAGCAAGCGCCCCTGTCGCGCGAGCAGCCTTCCCTCCCTCCCTCCGCCCTCCCATCCTGCTCCTGCCCCCTTTGGAAACCCTCCCTCCTCCTCCTGCCCTCCTCCTATCCTGCCCCTATCCCTCCCTCCCTCCATCCTCCTATCCGAACCCTCCCCCTGAGAGCAGCAGGCAGCAAGCGCCCCTGTCGCGCGAGCAGCCTTCCCTCCCTCCCTGCGCCCTCCCATCCTGCCCCCGTCCCGGGCCATCGCTCGGACGTCCACTCCCTGTGTTCTTTGTCGGTTTCGTGCGCGTTTTTTTCGCCAAATGGTCCAGGATGCTCCTCGATGGCCCTCGCCGAAAGGAAAAACGCACACGTCCGAGCGATGCCAGGGCCCCCTTGGAAACCCTCCCCACACTTGCTGCTCGCACGATCTACGGTCAGGACTCGCTGCCCGGCGTGTCGCGGCGCCGGCGCAAGCGGCACGCGATGCCCCTGCAGGTGGACTGCGCGTCGCTCCGTTCCGCGGGGCGGCGACGAGGCTCGGCACGTGGACGCCTGGGGACCGCGAAGCGAAGAGCGTGTCGCGCCGAGGCGTGGTGGGCCAGAACCGGAGGAGCGACACGCTATCCCAAATGCCCTAACCGTATACAATCTACGGTGTACCCCTACAGACAGCCTTCCCGAGACTCCCCACTCTCCTGCATCTTTGCCCCAGGTCGAGGTTAGAAGGGGGAGGCGATGAGGGACAGAGGGAGGAGAGTGAGAGCGGTAGGGTGCAGAGGCATGAGGAGGAAGAGGACCAATCGGATCCTCCCGAGGCGGCCCACCCTCTACCGAGAAGGAACGGAGAGGAAGAGGAGGAAGAGAAGAAGGCCCCGTTGGATCGCAACCTGGATCTACCCCCCCACTGCAAACCTTCGCCTCCTGCTCGTCACACCCCCAACGTCCTCCTCTTGCCTCCCCCTGTCCCCGTCCACCCCTTCCCATCCCGCCCCTCTCCCCCGCCCCCCTCCACAACTACTTTCAAGGGGCCCAAAGACACACAAACACATACACACAGATAAAAGGATGCCCCTTATTTTCCCATGTTTTCTGCGTTTTGTCTTCCCCCCCAGCTCCCATATTTTCCAGTATTCTCTTGGGGGTCGACGGTTATTTGTGTCTGTGTGTTTTTTCCCCTCCTGATGCTCGTCGTGACCACTGCTCCCCGCGCCCCCGGGGGCGGTCCGCCGTTCACTCGGCCCCTCCGCGCAGCCGCCCCTCGCAGTCTGGAAT